AGATACTTGCGTGCCCTTCTCGCGTGTAGCTGTCCGCTGCGACCCATCATGGTCGGCATTGTCATCTCGCGTCTTGGACCCCGCCGCGTCCCGCAGGATGGGCCAGTTGCGCAAGTGAATGCAGCGGAGGCCGAGGTGCGCAGGGTCATCACCGAGGTCTTGAACAACGAATTGCCAGAGACCTCGGAGGAGGCGGATGACGCGTCGGAGGGCGACAACAAGTACGGGGGCCTGGAGCAGAACACGTACTTCGCGCTGCAGGACTGCGTCAAGAAGGACTCGGCCTTCGACCTCAGGGGCATGCTTGGCCAGCAGTTCGTTCGCTGGAAGCAGGCCTGATATCGAAATCACGCACCCCCTTCGAGCCAGACGAGGGGAAGGAATAATGAGAAGAGGAGAGGGGATGAGGAGGGGAAGACGAGGTACGGGGAAGGATGATACGCGAGGAGAGGCGAATGGGATTAGGACGGAGAATCGAGTTTTTTTTTATTCGGCGTCGATATCGACAAACTTGAAACCACACGCAAACTGCCGCGTCACCCCTCCCCGTGCCACTCAGGCTCACCCTGACCAGGACGCGGAGTACAAAGCCCTGAAGACGAATAAGGGGAAGGCGGACTTCAGGCTCAAGTGGGCCAGGGACAAGTACGAGGCAGCCGAGGAGTCCAGGAAGAGGTCCACTCAATACATCGAGGAGACCACCGTGGAGGGTAAGTTCTTGTCGTTCGACCGCATCGTGCAGAAGGAGGGCGGCGCGCAGAACCCAGCCAACATCATGGCAGCGGGGAGGGGCTCAACGAACGAGGGAGGAAGCTGACCAGGATATGGAGGCAATGGATCGAGGAAGGGAGGATGAGGAGGAGGAGGAGGAGGAGGAAGATGAGGAGGAGGAAGAGGATGAGGAGTAAGAGGATGAGGAGGAGGAGGAGGAAGAGGGAGGAGGGAGGAGGATGAGGAGGAGGAGGAGGAAGAGAAGGAAGAGGACACGTAGGAGGAGAAGGAGGAGGAGGAGGAGGAGGAAAAAAACTCACCACGAGGAGGACGGTGACGAGATGAGGTAGGAATGATTGAGGATGCGGCTCGGCCGAAGAGATCCACACCAGGAGAAGGACGAGGGGGGGGGGGAAGAGGAGAGGGAGACGGGAGCCGCAGGCAGCCATGATCTACTGCGCCAGGGCGTCGCGCATGCCTGGCTTCGCGCAGATGAGCCCCATGACAGGCCGCATCAAGTGGAAGTACGTGGAGGTCTCAGAGAGGCAGACCAACCGCTCGTTGTGGTCGATCGACCGCGTGGAGACGCTGGCCAAGGCGCCGCAAGCGATGCTGCCACCGCCGCCGCCCAAGCACGGGCGCCCGATCTCGGAGGTGAGCGACCCAGCCGACGCCCCGCCCAAGGTGAAGGCCAAGACCGCGGCTGGCGCGGTCGTCGCAGCACCCCCGCAGCCCAAGGATGCCTCCTTGGCGATTCCAGCGCCGTTGCCTCCACCGCCACAGGCAGCCGCTGCCGCCGAGGCCGCCCTGCCGCAGGTCCAGGCCGCTGCCGAGCCGAAGGCGCCTGTGAAGGCCCCTGGTGAGCCGAAGGCGCCTGTGGCGAAGCCTGCCGGGCCGAAGGCGCCTGCGACGGCGCCTGGGAAGGCGCATGGAACGGAGCCGAGTGGGAAGGCGCCGCCGAAGGCGCCGCCTGGGAAGGCGCCGCCTGGTGGGAAGGCGCCGTCTGGGAAGGTGCCTCCGAAGATTTCGCCCGAGCAGCACTTCAAGAAGGTGTGCACAAAGTACACGACGCTGAGCTTCAGCGCCGACGCCTTGATCAAGACGATCGAGGATGACAGCGACTGGGCGTGGGCCAGGACGTCTGACGTGTTGGGTAAGTTGAAGGAGGCGCTGAACGAAGTCAAGAACAACGTGCCCGACCTCGTCGTGCGCCACGTGGGCCAGGGCTTCAAGAGCGTCTCGAGCATGTACTCGGCCGATGAGCTGAACATGCGGCTGTCCGAGGCCTCTAAGGCGTTCGAGACGTTTCTGGAGAAGCTCTCGACCAGGCTCACCAGGACCACGAAGATGCACGAGCAGTCGATCGCCATCGACAACGAGTAGGAGGCTCGCTACAGTCAGTGCTGTGGGCCAGCGTTTGGGAGATGTGCGGAATGATGAGGGTGAGGAGGAAAAGGAGGAGGAGGCGGAGGAGGAGGAGGGCGGGGATGAAGAGACTGAGCTGACAGAAGAAGATGAGGAGGAGCGTGGGAGGGGTGACAGGGACACATCTCCACCTTCTATCTCACCCTACACTGCCCTCGCTATGTTCGTGCACCAATCCAACGCCCCGTGCGGTATGTACACATCGCTCCACCCATTCGCTTCATCCTCCCATTCCTCTTGACGCCTCCTTCTGCAATCCCAATTCTTCAGATGATACGCCCAATGCTGCCTCGTGCGTCACGTGGTGCTGTGTGCGGGGGCTGGCAGCTACTAGGCCGCACGGTGCAGCGGTATGATGTACATATGAATATTCAGCGAGCTTTGCGCGCCTACATCGGCACGCAATGTGAGACTCCGAGTCGGGATGTCGCCAGCCCCACCTCTTCCGTGACCTCTACTCTCCTGCTACTCGCCTTGACTGCTCTCTACACGCAAGGGCTGCGCGGTTTTTGGGAGCAGCATTCTGAGAATGCGGCGCGGAGAACTCGCAGTGCATATCCTACCCCATTTCACGCACGAAAACACGAAGGCTCGACCCCCCCACACACACACACACACGCGACCAACAAACAGCGCATTGTGATAGCAACGTCGAATTCCCTGGACCTGAAGGGGGGCATGATGTTGGAGTTCCGATTGGGCAGGAGATGCCAGCCGAGAATTGCTTATGCGGCGGCCCGCGCGTAGGATGTGGACTTCACTCGCACTGCGCGCGCCCCGTTGCTGTCTCTCGAATTTAGAGGACGCGTCCCAGCAAGGATGGGTAGACCTTTCTGGTGCGGCACCGCCCCGCCCCGCGATGAGGTCAAGGTAAGATGATATTAGGCGGGGAGGAATCACCTGGATGAGTCAAGTATGCGATTACAAGTATGAGTATCGACACCATTTCTGATTTCGTGGAAATGTGGGGATCGCGATCCTCTCCTCCTCATCCTCCTCCTCCTCCTCCTCCTTCTTCCTCGCTCCCTCACTCCCTCCCTCCCTCGATCCTCCCTCCTCCCTCCTCATCCTCCCTCCTCCCTCGTCCTCGTCCTCTCTCCTCCTCCTCCTCCCTCCTCCCTCGTCCTCGTCCTCGCTCCTCCTCCTCCTCCTCCTCCTCCTCCTCCTCATCATCATCATCATCCTTCCTCCTCCTGCTCTCTTGTTCTGCCGCGCCGCACAGGACGACCTGTACGCCATGCGGAACGAGATGAGGGAGCGCTTCCTCGAGGATGGCACGATCTAGTCCCAGGACTGCGAGATCGAGTTCCTCGAGGAGGATGGCCGACCCGAGACTCGCGGACGCGAGCGGGTAGGGCCGCTGATGACAGGGAAGACAATGACAAGGGGGGGAGATGGGAGATGACATAGGAGATGGGAGGAAGAGAGACGGGGGAACAGGAGGAGGAGGAGGAGGAGGAGGAGGAGGAGGAGGGGGAGGAGGAGGAGGAAGGGAGGAAGAGGAGGAGTACGGTGTGGAAGGGTGACTTCCCTGTCAATTTCAGGCCTAGCAGGCGAGAGCTAGGCGGGGTGCGGTTTAGGCAGCGCGCGTTTCGCTGCCTGATTCGAGTGCGACGCTGCACTCGGAAAGGGAAAAACTGTGTCGTGCGGACCCCGAGCAAGCCTTGAGAGAGATCTTGCCGCCTTTGGTAAGCCCCAGGCTGCTTCAGAAGGGCCAAATAGCAAGGCCGACCGTCCCAGAATGCTCAGTGGAGGCCGGAAACGACCCCCGATGATTTTCCGATGATTTTCCGATGATTCCCCGATGATTCTTGATGATTTTCCCACGAAACGCTATATATATATATATATATGAAAAACACACCGATGATTCTCCGATGATTCTCCGATGATTCTCCGATGATTCTTGATGATTTTCCAAAATCTACAAAGAGTCCTCGGGACCGGGATGTGCGCAAGAAATTTGGGCTCCTGGGGCATATCCTGGCGGTGGTTTGGGCTCCTGGTGTGAGACTAGGCCGGCGACCCTCTTCTGACGCCCGCCCAGGGGCCATGAGAAGCGCTAGAACCCAAGGTTGCACTTAATATTGACGTCGCCGCCCAATCGATTGACTGCTCAGGCCCCCGAGCTAGCAGCATTTTGTTGAGTTCGGGGGGAGGGGCGACCGATGCCGCCCGTTGTGGATGGTCTCGAGAGCTGGCAGACGCAGAGCGAATGGCGAGTATCCGAGCTGATGGAGCAACGAGCAGAGAGCCAACGCAATGCCACGGCGAGCCCCAGCAAACCCCGACACAGCCCTGAGACACGAGATCGTCGTCTGATTCGGTGCAGTGCAGCGCAGCGGCACAGCGTGCATTGAATTAGCTAAGGTTCTCCTCCTCGAGTCCTCCCTCTTTGTCCTCCGCCTGCCATTTCTGACAACCCCAGGCATTGAAGGAATTTCTTCTGGAGAAATATGTATGCGGCGACTGGACTGGCAAGGATGTCGGGGAGCTCGCGTACCTCATTAGCCAGGGGGGGGTGTCCGAGCTCAACGACATTGCCACCAAGCCCCCCGAGGGCCATGACAGGCGCAATGGTGTCGCTTCGAGGCGATGAGCGGAGCGAAACTATATGGTAGGGGGGATGGCGGGGAATGCTGACAACGGAAATAGAGAGTGCGGCTAGGGGATGAGTTGGAGGAAGGTGAGGATGACGAGGATTATGAGGAGGAGGAACAAGTTTAAGGCGCAATAACATCAACTCCCGCGTCGGCGGTCGTCTGTCACGGCAATGCGTGCGAATTAAAGCTGATGAAATAAACGTGCGTGATCTTGTAAAGGGGTACATGGGGGGAGCAAGCCAGCCGCGCGTCGCCCCTCAGGCGATTGGACAAGCACCTCGGCTTCACCATGGACGACACTGAGCTCTACGAGATGACCCTGCCCATGCAGACGGCCGACGGGAGGACGATCGAGAAGATGTTCGTCCGCCCTCCCCACGAGGCACTGCACCGCGAGGTCGAGGATAACGGCATGCCACACACAGTTCCTGATAGATGGGTGGACGTCTTTGAACAGCACCCGTTCGTATGCGGCAAGACGCCAGAGGAGCGATCGCGCATGGTGCCGCTAGGCGTGTACATGGACGCAGTTGACTACAGCGACAAGGACAGCGTCTTAGCGTGCTCAGTCACGAACTTGCTCACAGGGCGCAAGCACATCGTGTTCGTGGCGAGGAAATCATCGCTGTGTGGCTGCGGTTGTGGTAATTGGTGTTCACTCTTCGTGTTGTTCAGGTTCATGCAGTGGTCGCTGATTCACGCGGCCGAGGGTCGGTGGGCATCGACAAGGCATGACGGCAGCCATTTCGCGTCTCACATGGACCAGGAGAGGCTCTCGATGAAAGACATGCGCATGTGCTATTCGGGAATCCTGATCGACCTGAACGGTGACTGGATGGAGTTCGCTAGCCGATACGGTTTGCCGAGTTGGGCTTCGTCCACCGCGCCGTGCTTCAAGTGCAATTGCATCCACGACAACTGGTACAAGGAGCCAGGCCAGATCGTGCAGGGCGCAGTCTCGCACGACGTGGACTACTACGAGACCGAGGCCATGAGGCACGAGGTGCCTCGGGGGGGTGCAAGGGGATGAGGATGCAGATCACGAGCACGACGACGTCTGATGACAACGAAAGGGCGAACACTAATTTTTTACAGTACTTGTTGAAACTGCAACGGCCACGGCCAAGCGACGGACGATGACGACACCCACCTCAGTGGATCCTCCTTGTTGCGTGGCAGGCATGGGTGACCATCTTCACGCTTGACCAGCTCATGCAAGTGAGGCAGGCCCTGAAGATCAGCTTCGCGTTGAAGGGCAGGGTCATGTCCAAGAATAATTCGGCTTACGCCGTTAATCCGACCACGGTAGCAAGGGGTGCGAGGCCGGAATGTAACAGCAGGGCGGGCGGCAGCGGTGGTTGATAGTTACGCGCAGAGGGAGGAGGAATGCCGACGGCATGTACGGTAGCATGACGATATCGCAGGCTGGCAGCGGCGAGCAAGCGGACATTGATCATCTTGGCTTGAAGCGGAACGACAGACTCGAACCCTTCCCAGCGATGGAGGATACAAGCATGCTAGACAGATTCTGTGATCTGGACCTGCCTGTCATCCTGTTGTTTTGGAGGAAGCACGGCGACAGCCGCATGCATCATCGGCACCCGCTGATCAGCAGGCGCGGGCACCGACAACCGTCTGAGTTGCGATCCCTACACCTCGCAGCGACGACTGACGTCGCCCCTAGTGGAAACCCCTTCTGAAAACAAGAAACACGAAACACGAAACAAGAAAACAATAACAAGACGGGTCAGCTCGAACCGAACCACCGCAACATAAGCTCAAAATACCGTGCGACAGGCTCCTCGGGACATCAATCCTTAACTTGAACTCGGACGTCCTACACACGATCAACCTGGGCGTGATGAAGCAGTGGCTACTGAAATCTATTCATGTGCTGTTCGACGTAGATGCCTACGACACACGTGCCACGAACAAGCCTGCCCGCATCGAAATGTCCTTAGTTCGCATGATGTCCGAGCTGCGCGTCTTTTACGATGACCCGAAGCACAAAGATTTGACGCAGGCCTTGGTTTTTGTTTGTGGTTTGTGTGTGAGAGGGAGAGAGAGAGAGAGAGAGAGAGAGAGAGAGAGAGAGAGAGAGAGAGAGAGAGAGAGCACAAAACAACACATAGGGAATTCGGGAGTAACGTCGGGAAGTGGGAGCCAGAATTGAGGGCGCATGTGTGGTAGAGGGTGGGCTGCTATGCCAAAAACATCCAGAAGCAAAGCGGCCATCCAGATTCAAACCCTCACGAGCAAGATGATCGGGGACTGGGACTCCACGACGCTGAAGATCAAGGCGGGGGAGATGGCTGGCTTGTTCAAGTACGTATTGGAAAAAGTGGAGAATAACATGAGAAAGATCTCAGACCATGACACAAGTACAGATGCTGCGACCTTGCTCTACGCTGGGACCGTTCTGCAAGCGTTCACGGACATCCTGAAATCACAGCACAGGCAACTCTCCCCTGAACAGATCAACTTGCTCAACGAGTACGCGGCGGAGCACGTGGAGCTAGCCAAATCGGCAAATGTCCACTTGGTACCAAAGCACCACATGATGCTGCACATGGCAGGTGAGGCGCAGTACAAGGGGAACCCGAAGTACTACGCAACCTGGATGGATGAGACCATCAACAGGTTTATCAGCAACGCCGCTGCCAGCTGCCACAGGCGAACTTTGGAGAGGAAGAGCCTGCAGAAATCAGGCATGCTACTCGAACGAGGCAGCGCATACTAGTTTGAGCCTTGAGTTAGAGCTAGGGGGGATAGCGATGATGATAATGCGCATGGAGGAGGAGGATGCGGATGAAGAGAACGACGAGAATGAAGCGGAAGATGAGGATGTCGACGACGACCATGGGAACGGGCCGAAGAAGGCGGACTGTGGCAAGACGATGTGGGACTCATAGTGATGATTCGGAGGATGTGGAGACGGGTGAGGAATATGAGGAGGAAGAGGAGGAGGAGGAGGCGGAGGAGGAAGATGAGGAGGAGGATGAGGAGGAGGAGGAGGAGAGGGACGCCACTGAAAAATTGAGGAGGGCGGTGCAGCAAAACACGTGCGACGACTACCAACGACAACGGCACCGACCCCTACTTGTTTGGACTGGGGGGAGAAGGATAGCCCCCAATTTTGCCCCCGTCTCCTACGCAGACGATGCTCTGCCCCCCCCCCCCCCCCCGAACCGACAAAACAAAACAATACACGACTACGGCTGAACACGGGAACTGGGGAACCGCCCGATGTTTTTGGGATTGTGAGGGTGGTCGGGACGAGGGGCGGGTTGGCTTGTGCCCGCAGCCGCTCTCTCAAGGCCGCCGTGCCAAGCAACTTCGCGGCCTGCCAGATCACGACGATCATTAGCGGCGAGTATGGCTCCGAAGCCCAGGGGAGGACTGACGGGATAGCAACTAGACAGTGTCGTCTCCACCGTGTCCTACTCAGTGCCCCCCAAGTTTCGTCTCGCGCTATCTGTGTTCCTGTCGGGGCCCCTCGCCACCTCTCAGCATCGATCGCTCGCTCGCTCACCCGCCCTTCGATGGTAGGTACGCCCGTGCATCAACAACATCATGAATCATCCCCCCGCAAACGCGCCATATCCCCGTCTCCCCAGCTCCTTCTCCCAACCCCATCGCCCTTAACTATCACCATCACCACCAAACGGACAAATCTGCAGATCACGAATGAAACCGCCCTTCTTGGCCCACCCTCAATCCCCCTTTGTCTCCAACTGTCCCTCCTCCAATCCTACGCCCTTCCTAACCGCGCCCGCCTACTCGTCCACCCCCTCATTTTTTTGTGACGCGTTGTCTGGCGCGCCCCAACCAGAGCAGGACGGGGCAATGTCGGCAGCGATCGCAGGCGCGGTCGAGGGGCCAAGCCTGCGAGCGCGGCTCAGCGAGCGACCAGGGCAGTGGGTCGCGGTCGCGGGCGCGGGCGAGGGGCCCAGTCCGCCAATGGGGCCGACGGGTCCCATGGAGAAACGGCATCCCCAATTGTACCACGTGCTCCTGATGAGTGCATGTCGTCTCGGGTCTTGAAGCGTGCAGCCGACATCTTTAAGAGCACGTGCAACCCAGCGGCAAGCATGAGTGCCTACACGATTCTAGGACACGCCCAATTGTTTTTGAGCACGCTTCCCCGTAACGGCGTCTACAGGGACTTGGATGCTGTCGAGGTGTTCAGTGGCCAGGGTGAACTGTCGAAAGCCTTGGTCAAGAAAGGTTTCCATGTCAGACAATTCGACAAAAAACGTGCTGCATGTGAAGACATATTCACGCTCGTCGGGACGTTGCACCTCGTAGAGCTGATGTATCGGATTCGCCCAGGTGTTTCGGGAGTCCTGGTAACCTGAGGGGTTGGCGCACTGACTTGTGATCCGCGGGGCATGGCGTGGATGAACTTATGGCGCAACCGTCACGCGCATCAATATCCACGCCCGCTTCTGGATCCTGGGGGGGGGGGGGCGGGCTCACTCCGACGCTTGACTCGCCCAACGCAAGTGTTGGATGCTCGCAGGTGGACTGGCGTGGTTCGCGCCGACTTGCTGGTCATGGCTCCGCTTTTTAACTGCTGGCACAACTGGCAGGAGGAGCGAACGTGCATCCCGTTCATTGCCAAACATATTCGGTGATGAGAGCGTACCTGAAGTTTATGACTCAAACCAGTACATAATGATAGTCGCGTGGTTGATGACGGTTGCTCGCTTGCGCGGGGTGCACATAGCGTTGGAGCAACCTGGAGGGGATATGGGGTACCATGGTTGCAACCGTTGGGCAGATTAGTGGCACGAGGCTGCGTCCTTGCTACACGTCTTGCGTTCTGGCCTCGTAGCACCTGCAAACAAATCCTCCGATCACGTCCTAGTTCCCCCTCCCCCTCCTCCACCCTATCTGCCCTGCCGCTGCTGCCCCACTGCACCCCTGCTGCTCCCTACCCCCACTGCTCTTCGTAAGCAGCGTGTCAAACGCGACACGCTGCCCACGAAGACCAGCCTTTGCACGAGTTTTAGAACGTAGAGGTGAGGGTCAGGGAGCGGCGCTGGATATGAGAAATCAGACTGCGAGGGGGCGGGCAGGAGACAGCATCATGCTAGAGCACCCGAGCTTACAGATCTTCATGACAATGTTCAACACCTTTAATGTGCGTACGTTCATGGGGGCGTTCGGCCTTCACACTCCTAAGCCGACGATGATCCTGACTACCCTGCCCGAGCGTGTGCACCACACCTTCAAACGCCAGAAGAAGGATTGCACTTGTGGCGCTAGTGCGAGCAGCCATGTTACCAGGACACTTTTTTGATCATTTGATGCGCCCGTCGTTGTCGTCAATCGCATCGAATAGAACAGCCCGTCCTCATATCCGTATGTTCCGTCGACGTCGTCGCCATCGATCTGTCTAAAGCGCTTAACAGCAATCCAAACGATGATAGCTCCGTCGCTCGAACGATAATCGCCCCGTCGCCCCGTCGTCCCGTCGTCAAGTCACCCCTTCGTCCCGTCGCACTCGGCCCCCGACGATCATGTTTTCCTCGTGCCCGCGCCACGGTCGATGCGATTGCCTCAAAACAAGTGGTCTTCAGTACTGGATGGCTCGTGGGGTCCAGGGACTTGAGTGGGACTGAGCATTATACAGCGGCACGCCCCCTAGTATTCATTATGATGCGGCCGGCGCGATGTTGCAATGATTTTGCAATGATTTTCCAATGAGTTCCCAATGATTTTCCAATGATTGCCCAATGATGTTGCATGTTTGCGATGTTTTTGCAATGGGCCACAATGGGTTCGTGAAGACTTGGCAATACTTCGCAATGGTTTTGACAGGTCGTGCAATATTGCTGTCGGCATTTGTTTCAATGATGTTGTGAACGGCGTTTCCCGTGGATGTACCTGGTTTCCGATCATTCGAACCCTTCCGTGCCGTGGCGGATCAGATTTAGTCAGTCGAATGGCGTGCGCGGCGTGTCCACCCACAGGCCAGCATCCAACTCCCCCTCCCATTCTACTTCAGACAATCGGCGACGCAAGGTCGATCGGAAGGTCATATCGGACAGGAGGAGGATAGCGAACGGTATGAAGAGGAGGGAGAGAACGAGTCGGACACGGCTGACAACGAGGAGGAGAATGAGGAGGAGGAAGATGTTGAGGAGAATGAGGAGATTGAGGATGAGGAGGATGAGGTGGATAATGAGGAGGGGGGGAGGAGGAGGAGGAGGAGAGGGGATGGGGGAGGAGTGGGAGGGGAAGGAGAAGTCGAGGATGAGGAGGAGGAGGAGGAGGAGGAGGAG